TTCTTGCAGGTGATCTCCGATTTTGATTACACCTTGTCAAGATTCGAAGATAACCTCGGTGGACGATGTTGGACAACCCATGGTGTGTTCGACAACTGTTCAAAGCAGGTCGATCCAGAACTGGCTTTAAAGGTAAAGGAGTTTGATTCAAACGGATTTCCTTCCGTTCTAACTGAAGTTGGCCCAGTTTCAGTTGCAACGTCTAAAGGAGAGATATTTCCCAGTTGAATTTGACCCCAAAATGACGCAGGAGCAAAAAGTGCCTTACATGGAACAATGGCAAGTGTCTTTCATTTGTATTATCTCTTTGTTTTCTTTCACTCATTTCAAGTGTCCCATTAGTGCTAGGTAGCGATGAAGCAAGTGTAAACAGTGGAACCGTCTCGCGATTCTGTCTTAGCTGCCTAATGAAGCGTAAAACAGAAGAGAACCGCTCTCATCAACATTAACTGACTCCCTTGCAAAGTTCTACGCACAGATTTTTCATTCGTAGTCGTGATGCCATTTGAAAGTTGCTTCCACGACTTTCTAGAGTTGTCTATGGGGTACGGCAGAAGCATTGACCCGTTAGACAAGCGTGTTATGAGTTGCGGCCAGTATCATATCACGAGAAGGATTTTACGGGGTTGTTAGGGAACGGCTGTTTTCACCTTTAGAGAAATCCCACGGGAATTTCGAAAATAGGGTATCTATTTCGCGGTGGTGCGGCGTTGTGCCCACCGTGCGGCGATTCTTAGCTAGTTGTCTCGTTGCACGGTATGCTGCTCGAGTCTAATGTCCGTTAACACCTTTTACCGTGCGGTCATGAACACGTCAACAGGCTAAAAGTGAAGAGGAAGTTGAGAAATTGAGGCGTTTTATTCAGCGATACCCCTGTGCGGAATCCGTAATGTAAAAACTTCACATAGAAATGAAGTACAAATTTTGGAAATTGTAGTTTCAATAGATAACTAGTGATTTGACGGGATGATTTACCCAAGGAAGACGAAAAGATACTTCCCCTCCTTTGTTGGAATGATTCAGGCGACATTGCCATCTTCAATTCAGTTATCCAGCCAAATTGTTATACTAGTAGAATTACTAGTCAACTTTCAGGTGGAACAGTTCTCACAATCACATTGTTTCTGCCAGATTCCATCGGAACACTGTCGAGAATTTTGTGCGGAATTCAAAAATAATATTGAGGTAACTAACTTGCATTGAGAATTTCGAGCAGTTTTTCGATTTGTTCGTAGCATGGGACTTATTTTCCTCTTTTCCTTATGATTTTTAAGCCCATGCAATCGAAATTCTCCTTCAAATTTCCAATGCCGTGGCTGACTGATTTTTTTTTTGAATTTACAGAGTAGACAAGTCCCCAGTTCGTGTAGGGATTGGAAATGAATTTTGTGAACTCTCTTGCAAGCATCCGAACAAAGCTTTCATCCTTACAACGGAGCTGCTTCGCTAGTGGGCCAAAAAACCTTTCAGCCACCCATCTGTTGCCTCGCTGAAAAGCTGTCCTCTTTGAGGACGATGCCGAAATAGAAATAGAATGGATTTTTGTTATTTTCCTTGCGAATGATGCCGGAATGGAGGAAAAATGGAGTTTTGAATTAGCTCTGCTTCGTTCTCAGGGAATAAAAAGGTTTAGGAACACTGTTTATGGAATAGCTAGTATAACCCAGATATTCCAGAGATCAAGCAGAACAGATGATAATACGCTTGAATCAACTTGGTGTTCCGCTGGTCGTCTTCTCTGCCGGTATTGGAAATATCATCGAAATGTATTTGGAGCAACGGCTGGGCCAGATCCCAACGAACATACGGATAATCTCGAATATGATGAATTTTGATGAAAACGTATGTTCATGATTTTATTTCAAGACATCTAATGATATGTTAGGCTTTTATCGAGCTCTGCGATGCGCCGTGCCTTCTCCTCTCCCTCAAAATTGGAAATAACAATTTAGTTCGAATATAACTTGCAATGTATGGCTATTGCGAAAGTAGAAGGGATAGAGCGATAAGAGTTCATCAATCATGGATTGCGCCAGGCAACCGATTTCATTCTGGTTTGCAGTGACATTTGTCCACATACATCCCCAGGGAACTCCTACGGTGAATCATCGTTAAGGTAGACGAGGTTCCCTTCCTTCCTTCCCCCCCCCCTCTTACACGCCCTGGTTTGATACCGATTCGCAGAACCCGAAAAATCGGATGACTTGGGTCTGATATCTAAGCCTGATTTCTCCAACAAGCTTACGGTAGTGCCGTTAGAACGCTGTTAGCCTGGGATTGTTCAA